GTCATGTTTGTGGCATCACTTTGGATTAACTCTTGCTGAGGGTAGGTTGGAGGAGTTGAGTCTGCAGGAGAATGTGGAGGGCAGATTGCATGCTATTAGCAAGGTGTTGTGCTGGTCGGCTGTGGGAGGGAATGGTTGTTGTTTTGGAGAATCCCTGCTGAGGCCCATCTGGGGTTGATGTGTCTGTGAAAGAGGCAGGAGCTAGGTGTGCCCTTTGCAAGCTAGGTTTAGAGTTTTCAGGGCATGTTGGTCCCTGCAGATGTCTGTGTATCTAGGCTGGGGAGGGTGAGAGAGAAATATGGCAGCCACCAAGTCTTTTGTTCTTAGAGAAGTCTCCTAAAGATCTCTGCCCCTCTGACACATACTCTGAGATCAGTAAACAAATCTCCTTCCCATATACCCCAAGTGTTTCTCAAACTACTGCTTCAATGCTATTTCTCAGTGGGTCTGTTTGTTATCCTGTCTCTTTAAGGACAGGGATTCAGTTTCCTATCAACCTCCAGCTTTCCCAGAGAGGAGGTTGCTGATATAGAGAGTATAGAGAGGAGCCTGCTGATTTTTAAAGTTCTAATTGTTCAGTCCCACTGACTGTAAGGATTCTCAAAGTTAAGCCCCTCTGGTTTCAAAGTCAAATATTATGGGGAGTCATCTTCCCAGTATAGGTCCTCTGTGCCTGGGGTGGCTGGTGTGAGGTCTACTCCTCCCTCCTGTGGACAGTGTTGCAAGTCAGTTGGGATCCAGATCATGAATCCGCCCTTCCTACCTTTTTCGATGTGGCCTCTTCTCAACATTTAGCTGTAGAGAGTCTGTTCTGCGGGTTATTTACACTGACGTGGGTGTTATCTAGGTGTCCTCTTAAGGTGAACTTTGGATCCTCCTACATCACCATTTCACCCAGAAGTCACTCATAATTTCTGAAAATATATGTATTTTTAAATTTAATTAAATAACTAATTGAAAAACTAGTAATATAATTCCTGGTCAAGTTATTTATCTAAAATTTTAGTCATCATATAACTTTGGATTTCACAGTAAAATCAAACTACCCTTGTGAGTCCTTCAGTAATATATTTGTTTATGAAAAATATTTAATTGAAAAACAATAGTTCTTATTGGAGAAATGTTTTTATATATTTTATTACAATTCACAGTCACAGATCATAATGTTTTATCCTAGATGTAATGAAGATGGTAGAGTAACAAATTCATAAGTAAGCAATACTTGTTCTGATATTCAGTTTACTTAAAAATCAGTTATTATTCACCTACATGATTAGGACAACATGCTAGGCTCTAGAGATACAAAGATTAAAAAGCTCCTTCTTTGCCCTCAAAAGCCCATAGTTTAAAGAGGAAGGCAAATACATAAGGAAGCACATATGCAATCTACAGAGAAGTGATGCATAGTTCTTGTCCATTTTTAGCCCACTGTCATTCCTCCAGGCTTGAGATTTTCACTTACATTTTTTTCCCAGTTTCCCTTTAGTTAGTATTCATATGCTACATGTATGTCAGCCTCTGTAAGTCAATCACAATGTGACACATAGGTAAAAGCTTACACACAAGTACTCAGGGATTATTTTTTTATCCGGTATTAAGAAATTTGATTCTTTCTACCTGACTATGTAGTACATGTGACAAATTGCACACATGATTACTTGAAGCTCAAGCACTGTTTCAAATGCTTTATGCAATATAACTCATTGAAGGACAAAATTAGGAACAGGTACCATTACTACCCTATTTTACAGATGAGGACACCAATGCACAGAGGGATTAAGTAACTCTGACATAATCATGCAGTTGGTAACAAGCAGAGACTCCTTGATTTGAACCTGTCTGCCTTGCTCCAGTGTCTGTCATCCTAACTACCATACATACTGCCTTTGTGTCATGCTGGCCTTTCTCACTGACGGCAGTGATCTTTGTTCCATGTTGTAATCAAAAACTTAAACACAAAATGTAGATCTATACTGAAATTCATACAGCTTTTTATGTTCTTTGGAGTACAACTTTCTGTATAAGTTCATTGATGCTGAATTTTTCTTATGTCTTTGTTTTGCTGTATTGAACATGTACTTAATCTGTACATGGTATAATTCATAGGCCATCATCTCCGAAATATTCCTACTCAGAGGAAGGTGATGCACCATAACACAGTCCCTAAGCAAGGGAGCACATTCTCAAACTAGAATCCCTTAAAAAGCTAGTGCACGAGCCAGGCAGAGCTATGCTTGAATGGAAAACCTGCTTAAATACTATAAATAATTTGTATTTTTCTCTTATGAAAAATACATTTCAAACGTATCAAGGAATTAACTACAAAAAGAAACAGAAGCATATTTATTTTGCATTTTGACCGTAATAAATTATCACAAGTTTAGTGACACAATTTCTGTCCATCTATAGACCTCTGAAACAAAAGAAGCAGGTTATCTGCCTCCAAAACATAAGCATGGAATGGTTTTTGGAATGGTTCAAGGATGGAATAGAAGTTATAGATATTTCTGTTCAATAAGGGAGAAAATATAGGGAAAAAGATGTCACCAATCCCAAGAAATTTTGAAATCTAGTCAGGCAAATTCCATTAAGTTCTGTGGCTTGTGGCCGAGACTGTCTTGAATAGACTGTTAGTAAAAATATGGATATTAACAACCCTGCTTGGGAGGGCTCAAGAACATGAGCACGGTAGAGAAAATATATCACCTTAGGTAATACCTACATTGCCACTAACAGACTATTGATGGAAATACACACAGGAAAGGGGGTTGAAGTTGATAGAGGGTAGGTAGATGGCAGGTAAGGGTGTGGGGTTTAGTTATGATGAATTTCAGGTACTGATAGAATGTGAGGATGCCCATCGGAAAGTAGTAGTCCAACAAAATAATCTTCAACATCTACTGTAAATAGTACTTCGGTAACTCGGGGCAAAGGATTAAAAGATCAAATTCTATACCTAGACTTCAAAAGTTTCCTTCCTGGTGGTAGGAAGTAATATTTTTTATCACTCTTGGCCCAAACCTAGTGATTTATTTTTATTTGCCAAATTATTATTTTATATTTTCAAATTTTCTAGGGACTAATCTCACCCTAGAATAAAAGCTAGCATTTACAACTATTGTCATTACATAATTGGAGCATAGCAGAATCCAAGGGTTTGTGGTTCTTTCTAACAGCGGTATAAATTTACTAATTCAGTAAGAGTGTGGTATTAATTTACTAATTCAGTAAGAGTGCTGGATTTAAATGCTGTACCCTGCTGGAGGCCAGCTCTGGCTGGGTCCAGGGGTCCCTGAAGGATGGTTGGTGTCGGCGAGGGAGGGGTGAGAGAGGTCACGAGAATCTTTCTGGTCACCAGGCAGGCATCTCTGCTCTGACTGGGGCTTTATTTTATAATTGACATTTGCCTTAGACAATGATTTCTGATGACAAATTTCTTTGATATGTAAGAATTTCCCAGAACATAAATTTGTAGAAGACTCATGCATAACCTTTATCAATAGTGATTGAGGTAGGTGATTTAGATGCCTATCCTATGGGGAAGGAAGGTATCTTTAGCATATGAGACCATGTTTTTAGCATAAAAAGGGTGAAGTAAGTTCTTTGTGAGCAGGAGTCAATAGCTTGTTTGTTTAAGGAGAAGTATTAGGAAAAATGGGTCTTTCAGGAAACACAATGTTTGTTCACACAATTACAACAGAAGAAGTGATAGGTTCCTTCACAGGATGCAATCAGCATATTCAAGGTCAGAATAAATCACTCAGAATATTGATCAACAAAGATGCCTTGGGGGTCAGTGCTCCAAGCAGAAACAATTGGGTAAGGGTGGATATCTGTCCTTAACTCTAAATTAGGCTCTTTATCTCAGGGCCAGGCTCAATTGTAACTCTGGTGTCCTTAACCCCCTTTATTATCTAAGTCTTGAATCTAGAAGGCCCATAGGAAGAGCCTTTTGACAGTCATCCACAGTGCTTTCATCTAAAATCTCTTTTGAAAAGGCAGGAATATGCTTTTCCTTATGATGAATCTGTGTGCGGAATATCAGTCTGATTTGCAATATTGTGAGGCCTGGTCAATACCAGCAGCCTCATTTCCAACATGAGCCAGTAGTAGCAGAAGGAGGTACCAGTTTTGTTTCTCATGGCAGGAGCTGTGCAAACACTGCCATTTCCTCACTATGACTGTCCTCCAGCAAGGCCGGTGAGGCTCCTAGCAGTACCCAGCGGGAAATCTGGAATAATTGGTCTTGTTCTTGTACAGACTTTAATAATGATTGTTGCATATCTTTGACTAAGCCCTTCAAAGGAAAGCAGTCGTTCTTCTGCCAACTACTACTTTGCTTCCTGGGGCGCCTGGGTGGCTCAGTCAGTTGAGTGTCTGACTTCTGCTCAGGTCAGGATCTCACAGTCTGTGTGTTTGAGCCCCAGGTCGGAGCCTGCTTCAGATTCTGTGTCTCCCTCTCTCTCTCAAAAATAGACATTAAAAAAAAAATAAAGGATTTGCTTCTTTGTCAGAGATTCTATTAGACTGGGTGTCAAACTGGAATCCCAGTCACCACTGTAAGAAATATGGGTTCAACTAGGGCATATTTTATTTATGAAAATATTAAAAAGCCAACAGTTATAACATAGGATTTCACTTTAACTGTACTCTTTAAAAGAAACATCAACCTTAAACACAAAGAAATAGTGTCTATTTGCTATCGCATTTCTTCTAAGAAAGCTAAATATATTTTAAAAGCACAATTCCGTAGTCTAAAATTTCAACTCCAAAAGCAAAAACAGAATTGACAAAATGTACTCTCAGGCAAAGAACTGTCCACTTATCACCGTTTGGAGAGAATAAGTGTGTGTTTTGTATACACATAATACATATGTGTGACTATACCCATCAGGCTTTGAACATGGATTTATCCAGACAAATTTGTATGTGAGTCTTCTACATATTTGATATACCATAAGATTGGATATGAATATAAGACTATTCCACTTCTGTTCAAAGACGGCTTGCAGTACATGTTTTCTTTAGAACATTCTTTGAAGTACAAAGCTATAGAAAGCAGTAATATTTTTATATATAACACACAGTATAGTTAAAATCATCACATCAACTCTTTTAAAATCTCCTTGCTCTGGGTGAGTTCCCCTAATTCTTCCATCATTAATTCTTGTTTGGGTTTTTCAGCACTTTTGCTACAAAGCAAATTTTCCTCCTGTGAATTTTGAATTGCAGGTCCTGGGACTAACTGATGAGATGTACTTATGATCACATTGTTTTTAGCTCTGACAGTATAGGTCTCCTCGGGCTTTGCTCTTTTTTGGCAGAGCTGGAGACGAAAAGCATGTTGGAATGCACGGTGAAAATTCTCATTGAAAAAACCATAAATGATGGGGTTGACGCTGCTATTGCAAAAGGCCAGCCAGTGTGCAAATGGGTAGATGTAGATGTTGATGACCTGCAGTTCATTTGGAGACAGGTCAGCATAGTCTGAGAGCATCATCAGCGTCCACAGAGGCAGCCAGGAGAGAATAAAAAGCAGGGCCACAATCAGAAGCATCTTAATTACCTTCTGTTTCTTCTTGGACACCATGTGCCACTGCTCTTGGTTCTGTTTGCCTGTGTGAGGCGCTGTCGTCTTGAAGAGTGAAATTCCAATCCTTCCGTACATGATGACAATGAGGGACAGAGGAGCCAGGTAGATATTGGCAAATAGCACAGTGGTGTAGATCTTCCTCATTTCCTGATTTGGCCAGTCTTCCCGGCACCAGTAGACTGGAATGGTTTTATTCTGGGACTTGAGTCTCACTTGGTAATATTTTTCTTCTTGTACATGTAACATTATTGCAGATGGGGACATAATGGTAATAGCCAGGACCCAGATGATCACAATAATGACAAATGCTGTCTTGATAGTGAGCTTTGGCTTAAAAGGGTAGACAACACAGCGGAACCTGCAATTAAAGGCAAAGAGCAGAGGGACACTGCCTCATAACTTCTGACCAAGTTGTGAATTAAATTTAATTCTACCACTCACATTCCCCTCAAAAACCTAGAAAGTTACCATTAGCAGCAAGCAGAGAGGCATGCATTGATATTTTTGTAACTGATACAAATTTCAACTCAATGAGTATCGAAAATTATTAATAACAAAAGTGATAGTGGTAACTAGCATATATTGAACATGAATAGTTAGTATTTTGTTCCAGGTTCTTTTTCATTGGTCTGCATTGATAGTCTTTAAGTTTCCCCATTTACTGGCAAAATAAGTTTAGGAAAAGTAAAAAATCTTGCCCACAATTACACATGATTTAAAACAGGTAGTTTGGCTTCAGAGTCCATAATGTTAAACTCTCCTTCATGACCTCTGTGCTCCCCTCCCACATTATCTGTGTGCTTGGCCAACTGAACATTAGCAAGATGACATAAACAGAAACTTGAGTGACGACACAGAGGCACCCAGCCAAACCACAGCATCATGAGAAATGTTTAAGCATTCTTGTTTCAAGTCACTAAGTGTTTTGGTGGCGTGGTTCACAGCTATAGGAGTCTGAGAATTTCCATTATGATTTCTGATTACTTGCTTTCCAGATGTTCTATGCCCTCTGGTGAACATGGAAATTCAATGTCAGTATGTAGAACGACACCGATTTCATTTTACTGCAATTTTTCTATTGTGAGTCTTGATGTTATTATTCATGCTCATTATAGTTATAATCATACCATATACAAGTGTTTAATATTTTATACTTTTCAAAGTATTATCACCTATTCAATCTTTGATTTTTGTGATGACTCTATAAAAAGGAAATGTTATGAAGATTATTAATTTCCAGATCTGCAGATAGGAAAAATTAAAATAACATGGAGTTGCTGCTGAGCCACTTAAAAGCTTTATCTGACATATCTTCATATACTAACTAATTTGAACTTTAGTTGCTCTGTTCTTCATTGCATGGGTAATGTCTGCTGTTACAACATCTTGTCTTAACATCAAGTTTTCCTCTAGTATTTTTTAATGTTTATTTATATTCGAAAGAGAGAGAAAGACAGAATGCAAGTGGGGGAGGGGCCCAGAGTGAAGGAGACAGAATTAGAAGCAGGTTCCAGACTGTCAGTACAGAGCCCGATGTGGGGCTCAAACTCACAAATCGTGAGATCGTAAGCTGAAGTTGGATGCTTAACTGACTGATCCACCCAGGCGCCCCCTTTCCTCTGGTGTTCTAATCAATGATTCCTCCCATCTACCTACCTTTAAATTATGGGTAACTTTATAGGTATAATTCTGGGTATTTTATTCTTTTTTGGTAAACCAACTGCTGGGCCCTCAAATACTTTTTCATTCATTCAACAAATATATGTATATGCATGAATATGTTATATGTATATGCATGTATATGTATTCAGAGAGGCAACGATGATCCAAGAAAGAAAATGCTCTCTGCCAGGAAGTAGTCACCGAAAATATGTTAAAATCATGTTGGAGTTTAGACTTGGCCAGTACATTAGTCAGGCTTCTCTAGAGCAACAGAGCCAAGAGTGTGCATAAATACATAGAAAGATATTTATTTTAAAGGATTGGCTCATGCAGTTTGGGAAGTTGAGAAGTCCCAAGATCGGCAGTTGGCAAAATGGAGATCCAAGAGAGCCAATGGTATAGTCCAGTTCATGTCTGAGGGCTTGAGAACAGGACAGCCACGGATATAAGTTCCAAAAGCTATCAGGCTCACAACCCCAGAAGAGCTAATGTTGCAGTTCATGTCTGAAGACAGAAGAAGACTGATGTCTCAGCTCTAAAAGTCAGGCACTTACTTGCAGGGTCAGCCTTTTTGCTTCTTTGTTCTATGCAGGCCTTCAACTGATTGAATAAGGGCTAACAATATTAGGGAGGGCACTCTTTTACTCAACCTATTGATTCAAATGTTAATCTCATCAAAAGTACCCTCATAGACACACCCAGAATAATGTCTGACCAAATATCTGGGCACCACATGGAACAGTCAAGTTCACACATAAAATTTATCCCTACAACCAGTTAGGGGGGAAAAAAATCTCAGTATTCTTTCTCAAGCAATGGAAGATAGTGGACTTGTTCAAGACCAGTTAGGACCCAGAATTGATGGGATTTAAAGAGTGACTAGACAGAAGAAAGGTTCAAGGACAGATTGGTTGTGTGATACTACCATTCACTGATTTGGGAAAGTGAGAAGAGGAGCTGACTTTTTGTTTCGTCTTTTTGCAGGGGACTGGTAGAGACGACAAGTTCAATTCTGGATCTGTTTATTTTGAAGTGCTTGTTGTTGGATGTGTAACGAAGTTAACCAGGAGGCATTTTGAATACAAGTATGAAATTTAGGAGAAAGACTTCGTCTGGAGAAATAGGTTTGGGGGATATTTTTTGTTTGTTTGGCTTCCTCCAAGAGCTGACCCTGAGAAAGACATTCAGGCGCAAGTAGTTCAGATGGAGAGGAAGGTGTGGTGGTTTCAAAACATGTCCTCCAAATTCAGTTCCCTTCTCCTTGAATATGTGCTGGTTTTAGTGACTCACATCCTAATGAGTAGGATGTAGAAGTGATGCTACATGACTTTCTTAGGATGCACATGCCTTAGACAACATGTAAGGTAAGCTGCCTTGAAGCTGCCATGCTATAGAGCCCAGGTGGAAAAACCAGTAGTAATAAAGTGCCTGAGAAGGCTCACTTCACATCCTCTGTCTTCCTCTCTCTGCCCCTCTCCCACTGTGTGTGTGCACACTCTCTCACTCTTCTCTCTCAAAAATAAACATTTTTAAAACCTGAAGAGCAATATTTATTTCTAAATCTCTATTTAGGAGGCATACTAGAAACTGTGAAAGAAATTAAGGGATATTTAATACTAAATGTAATGAAATTAACCTGATAAGCTCAAGTTTCAAGTAGAAAATACAAAGGATATTACAGGTTTTTTTATTCACTGTAAAGATGACATAAATAATTATAAAGTTAAGGTATAGTAGTATAAACATTCACAACTAAATAACTGAGCAGCACTATTTAGTAGTATAAAACAATAGTAGTAACAGGATATGGCAAATTTGGAAATAATTAGCTTCCAAATTTTAATGTGAAAAGAGATCTTTGGCATTTGGTGGTTAGCATATTTATATATGTAAATTGTATGCTGTTTACATGTAAACCAAAAAACTAGATCTATAAGATGTGTTCTTAAAAATAGATTAATGTTGAAAATAGGCTATATGAGGTGTTTTGCTTTTTAAGTCAACTATTCTATTGTATTTTTTAAACACTCTCTCCTGTACATAGATGTGCCTGTGTGTTGCTGATTGGTTAGTTCCCTTTTAGTCTGTTTCCTTGCCTGGAGGGACATCTTTCAGGTCACTGTTCAGTTTCCCTCTCAAATATCCCTTAATTGCCACTGCCTTAAGTTGTTACAAAAGATTTAACTGTTGTTCTTTAGTCTTACACAACTCCAATCCCTTTTAACAATCCCTTTGTTTTTCTAAAATGAAAATCTAGCCATTATTTCCCTATATAAAAGACTCCTGTTTTGTTTTAGAGAGAGACGCTCAAACAGGCCTCCACACTCAGGGCAGAGCCTGATGCAGGGCTGGATTCCAAGATCCTGGGATCATAACCTGACCTGAAGTGAGTCAGAGGCTCAACTGACTGAGCACCCGGGTGCCCCAGGCCCATAGACTTTCTGTGACCTAATATGCTATTCCACCCTCCCATGCTCTAACTGGACCATCTCTCTCTACTTCCCTTGACAAGCATCCTCCCATTTCAAGTGCCCTGTCTCTGTCTTAAGAGATGCTCTTTCCTCTGTTTCTTTCCAAGGTAAATTTCTGACCTTTCCTGTGAACCCAACACTCCCTGTCCTGAGAGGTAACTTGATCACTCTCTAACATAACAATGATAAAAAGGAGAGAGGATCATTTGTTACTGTGTCTGTCTACTTCTACAAGAGTGTGGACTTATTTACAAGGTACTGTGTCTAATTTGTTTTAGATGGTGTACGATCTGGCCCATTACAGGCACACCTCAACAATAGGTGTAAATGGATGTATTAAATTTTACCTTAACATCTGGATAAAATGTCAAATTTATTTCACATTTCCACCATTAGAAGATTCAATATTCTAGTATGGAAAATATATAAACTATGCTGTTATGAACTTCAGTTTTGTGTCCCCCTGAAATTCATACCTTGAGTAAGGTTGAAACCCTATCCCTTGATGGGATGGTATTAGGAGCTATGACCTTAAGGTAGTAACAAAGTAGATGAGATCAATAGGGCAGTTTCCTCTTTGATAGGATTAGTAACCTTTTATAAGAAGAGGAAGAGACTAGAGCTTGTGCTCTCCAAGGAGAAGACAGCCTTCTGCAAATCAGGGAAATGTCTCTCATTAGATACAGAAGATATTGGCATCCTGACCTTGGACTGCCCAGCCTCCAGAACTGACAAATAAATTTCAATTGTTTTAGCCATAAATTCTATAGTATCTTGTTAGAGCAGCCCAAACTAAGACATGTATCATCCCTATTTCTAAAATAATGGAAATTTTAGTAGTTTTGTTACTGAACCCTTAATAGATAGAGCCTTGCTCTTAAAGGAGCATATATTATGGATATAGTTTGGGGCAGATGGAACCAAATTTAATAGATTATAAATTTTTCTCTGGACTCACATTTTGGGGCTGACTTACCTATCCACAGCTATGGCAACTAAAGTAAAGACTGATGCTGCAACTGATATTCCCTGGATGAATCCACTGATCTTGCACATTGTGCTTCCAAAGGGCCATCCTGAAAGGGAAATTGAAATAGTCTTTGAAAAGATCATATTTTTTAAAATTTCACCAAAAATATGAACAGAAAAGCATGAAATCAAGACTGATGCAACTCTTTCCTAAATGATACCCAGGAAACAATGTTTCTCATTATTTTCATTAATACCTCCAGAGCTCTGTTTTTAGTATACTAGTACTAATGTCAGAATTTACATGGTAGTTACAGCATTCTAGGCACTGTGGTAAGCTCTTCATACCTATTAACTTTTCTAATCCCCCAAATAGACTTTCGAAGGCTTTATTCTCTTCCGCATGATGTAGACTAGGTAATAAACACACATATATCACATACCTTGCCACAGCTAGTTAGAAGCATTCTTAGGCTTTCAACCCCAGTTGTATGGTTCCAGAGTCTAAACCATTAACCCTTATGCAATAGTGCCCTTTAAATGAATAAGACAGGAAGAATAATTGGTTTTATAATTTGGAAATGTACCCCATAAATCATGAGGAATAGAAGTCACATGTAGAATAGTAAATAAAACTAATATTTATCCATATATAATGTAATGACGCAATTTACCTCAGAGGTACTTTGTTATAGAATGTTAGTGCTCTACTCTGATCCCCCATCAAATTCAGATCTTAGAGCCTTAAGCTCCAATGTATTTGGAAGTGGTGTCTCTGGAAAGTAATTATATTTAGGTGGTGCCCACATGTTGGGATTAGTGCCTCTAGAAGAAGAGGGAGAAAAAAGGTTTCTTCTCCATGAATGTGCATGAAGAAAGGCCATGTGAGCACACAGTAAGAAGGTAGCTGTCTACAAACCAAAGAAAGGACCCTCACCAAGAACCTAACATGCTTCTAGCCTCTGGAATAGAAAGAAAATATATGTCTGTTGTTTAAGCCACCTAGTCTATGGTATTTTGTTATGGTAGCCTGAGCTGACTAAAACATATCTTTCTAATTAAACCTCATTTGCTAGAATGTTTATAAAATAAGTTAGTAAAAGTATTATAACAGGTTGATATAAATACCCATCTGCTATTATAAGAAAGTAATATTCTTCCATCAGCAAATATTCTAGTTTCCCAAAAGATAAATTTTAAAAATCTGAGAAATATGTAACATTTTTTAAAAATCCTGCTATTTTTAAAAAATACTTGTACCTACTTTAAAATATTCCCAATAATCTAAATAATCCAAGTATATAAAAAAAAACATTTTGCCATCTATCCAGATCATCTTAAAATAGACACTTGAGTGACTCTCCTGAATAGAAACCAAAAGTGAACACATTTTCCCAGTCCTAAAATATGTTTGCTGTTACAGTATTAAAAAGGCAAAAAGGAGTGTGAATAGCCTTTGGTCAAAAATAGAATATATGATTTATCTCATCTCCCTCACTAAATTCCACTGAAATGAAAGCACCAGAGAAAAAATAACTTAAATGCACAGAGAGAATATAAAGCTGGGAAAACAATATAACTGGCTGAATTATGAACAAACACAATGAGATGCCACTTGTTCTTCCCCCAGCTAGCAGAAGAACGGAGGTTACTCTCTGAGGAGGTAAAAGCAGAGGGGCTCTAGACTTTGAGTCACCAGGTGCAGATGGAGTGGGTACCACAGTGATGCAGAAGAATTAAGTGAAAATAGATGCTCTGCTTGCAGTACTGCTGCCCAGAGACCCACCAGGCTCTGGAACACAGCAGCTGCTCTTATGAATCCCATGGCAATAGATCAGAGAATTTCCTTCTGGGGAATGTGATCCTTCCAAGAATACTGATGTGCAGATTTTGAGCGTTGTGGGTTTCCCAGTGCATGGGCCCGACTAATGAGGCTGAGAGTGGGACTAATCTCAATCTTAAGGCACGCAGAGGTCCAAAGCAGCCACACCATGTCTCAGTCTGAAACACAAGCAGCTACGTAGCAGTTGACAGAAGGGAAACCTTAAATATCAAAGTGACCAAAACAAATAGGAAAAAAGAAACATAAAGGGGAAAAAACAATATAAATTAAGTAGATGAAAAACGAAAAAAAATATTACTTCAAATCTCTAGCCAGGTTTACAAGAAAAAAGGAGGAAGTCCACAAAATTACAAAGGAGAAAGAAGAAACAACAACCAACACCATAGAAATACAATTATAAGATAATATTATGAAAAACTATATGCCAACAAATTGGTCAACCTAGAAAAAATGGATAAATTCCCAGAAACATAACCTACCAAAACTGAAACAGGAAGAAGTGGAAAATTTTCAGATTTGGCCAATTCCCAACAAGTAAATTGAATCAGTAATCACAAAATTCCCAACAAAAGTCCAGGAACAGATGGCTTCAAGGTGAATCCTACCAAACATATAAAGAAGAGTTAATATCTATATCTATTCCTCTCAAATTATTCCAAAAAATAGAAAAAGAAGGAAAACACCCAAATTCATTCTATGAGGCCAGCATTACTCTGACACTAAAACCAGATAAAGACACCAAAAAAAGAGCTCCACAGGCCAATATCTCTAATGAACATAGATGCAAAAGTCCTCAACAAAAAGCACCAAACTGAATCCAACAATCATGAAAAATATCATTCACAGGGATCAAATGGAATTTATTCCTGGGCTGCAAGGGTGGTTCAAGATTTGCTAATCAATCAACATGATGCATTACATCAATAAAATAAAGAATAAGAATCATATGATCATTTCAGTGGGCACAGAAAGAGGATTTGATAGCATTCAATATCCATTTATGGTAAAAACTCTCAACAAGTAGGTTTAGAGGGAAAATAACTTCCACATAAAAAGGACATATATAAAAAACCCACAGCTAATGTCATCCTTAATGAGGAAAAACTGACAGCTTTTTTCCCAAAGATCAGGAACAAGAAAAGGATGTCCCCTTTCACTTTATTGAACACAGTACTATAAGTCCTACCCATGGCAGGCAGACAAGAAAAATAAAAGGCATCCAAACCAGTAGGGAAGAAGTCAAACTTTCACTATTTGCAGACTACATGATACTCTACACTGAGAATCTGAAAGACTGCCAATAAAACTGCTAGAACTGATAAAAGAATTGCAGAATACAAAATCGATGTATAGAAATCTGTTGCATTTCTATACACTAACAAGCAGCAGAAAGAGGAGAAAACAGTCTCATTCACAACTGCACCAAAAATAATAAGATATCTAGGAAGAAAACTAACCTAAGAGGTGAAAGACCTATACTCTGAAAAGTATAAAACACTAATGAAAGAAATTGAAGAGGACACAAAGAGGCAGAAAGACATTCCATGTTCATGGATTGGAAGAACAAATATTGTGAAGATGTCTATACTACCAAAGCAACCTACACGTTTAATGCAATCCCTATCAAAACACCAATAGCATTTTTCACATAACCAGAACAAGCAATCCTAAAATTTGTATGGAACCACAAAAGACCTCAAATAGCCAAAGCAAACTTAAAAAAGAAAAGCAAAGCTGGAGGTATCACAATTTCAGACTTCAAGTTATATTACAAATGTGTAGTAATCAAAACAGTATTATACTGGCACAAAAATAGAAACATAGAAAACTCAGAAATAAACCCACAATTATATGGTCAATTAATCTTCAAAAAAGTAAGAAAGAATATCCAATGGAAAAAAAAGACTCTTCAACAAATGGTGTTTGGAAAACTGGACCACTTTCTTATACCACACACAAACATAAACTTGAAATGGATTAAAGACCTAAATTTGAGACCTGAAACCATGAAAATCTTGGAAGAGAACACAGGCAGTAACTTCTCTCAGATCAGCCATAGTAATTTCTTTCTAGATAGGTCTGCTGAGGTAAAGGAAACAAAAACAAAAATAACCTATTGCAACTTAATCAAAATAAGAAGCTTCTGCATAGCAAAGGAAACAATCAACAAAACTAAAAGATAACTTATTGAACAAGAGAAGATATTTGCAAATGACACATCCTATTAAGTGTTTGTATTTAAAATATATAAAGAACTTCTACAACTCAACACCCAGAAAACAAATAACCCCATTAAAAAATGGGTAGATGACATGAACAGACATTTCTCCAAGGAATACATTCAGATGGCCAACAGACAGTTGAAAAGATACTCAATAATATCACTCATCATCAGGGAAATACATATAAAAAGTACAATGAAATATCACCTCACATCTGTCAGAATGGCTAAAATCAACAACACAAAAAACAAGTATTGGCAAAGATGTGGAGAAAGAAGAACCTTCTTATACTGTTGGTGGGAATGCAAACTGTTTTCCAGAGTGCTGGATATCTGTATAGAGGTTCCTCAAAAAGTTAAAAATAGTACTACTATAAGATCCAGCAATCGTACTACTACGTATTTACCCAAAGAATACAAAAATGCTCATTCAAAAGGATACATGCACCCCCTATGTTCATAGCAGCACTATCTACAATAGCCAAGATATGTAGCTGCCCAAGTGTCCATCAATTGATGAATGGATAAAGATGTGGTGTGAAACATGCACATGCATGCACAATGGAATATTATTCAGCCACAAAAAAAGAATGAACTCTTGCCATTTGCAACTACATGGGTGGACCTAGAGAGTAAGATACTAAGTGAAGTAAGCCCATTAGAGAAAGAGATACAGTATGATTTCACTCATATGTACAATTTAAGAAACAAAATAGCATAGGAAAAAAGATAAACCAAGAAACAGTCTCTTAACTGTACAGAACAAACTGATGGTTACCAGAGAGGAGGTGGGTGGGAGGATGGGTGAAAGAGGTGATGGGAATTAAGGAGTACATGTGTTATCATGAGCACTGGGTGATGTATGGAATTTTTGAATCACTATATTGTACAACTGAAACGAATATAACCCTGATAACTAGAATTAACATAAAAGCATAAAAATATAAACCTGAGAGATATAACACATTTCATCAATGAAATGTGCATGATAGTATAAGAAACATGCAGAAAATAAAAATAGGTCAAAGAATTTAAAATACAAGAACAGAAATGTAGAACTCAATATAATGTCTGGAAGAGAAAATTGAGAAAATCTCTGAAAAAACATCAATAAGAAACAGAAACGAGAAAGCTGAAGAAACAAAAGGCAACCCAGAACCTCCGATATCCGACTAATACGAACTGAAAAAAGTAAAATGGAAGAGAATTATACAAGAAAATCCCCCAGGATTAAGCAGCATTCTATTTTTGATTGAAAGAACCTGGTTTGTTGGTACAGCCCCTCTGGAAAACAGTGTGGAGGGTCCTCAGGAAACTAACAATAGAACTCCCTTATGACCCAGCAATAGCACTGCTAGGAATTTACCCAAGGGATACAGAAATGCTGAGGCATAGGAGCACATGTACCCCAATGTTCATAGCAGCACTCTCCACAATAGCTAAAACATGGAAAGAGCCTAAGTGTCCATCCACAGATGAATGGATCAAGAAGATGTGGTTTATCTATACCATGGAATACTACATGGCAATGAGAAACAATGAAATCTGGCCATGTGTAGCAACATGGATGGACCTTGAGGGTGTTATGCTGAGCGAAATAAGTCAGGCAGAGAAGGACAAATATCATATGTTTGCACGTATAGGAGGATTAGGAGGAACTTGACGGAGGATCAAGTGGGAGAAGAAGGGCGGAAATGGTGGGGGAAAGGGAGAGAGGCAAACCATGAGAGACTCTTGAATGCTGACAAAAACTGAGGACTGATGGATGTGGGGGGGTGGGGGGGATGGGCATGGAGGAGGGCACTTTGGGGATGAGCACTGAGTGTTATGTAGAAACTAATTTGACAATAAACTATTTGTAAAAAAAAAAAAAAGAAAAAAAAAAAAAAAAAGAACCTGGTTTGTGTCCAACACAATACATGAAAAATAAAAAGACCTATAGAAGGTATAATTGCCTGAAATTCAGAACACTGAGGATAAAGGAGAGTCCTAAGTTTTCAGGAGAAAAAACAAAATACAAATCATGATAAAAGCAGCAAGAGTCTAACATCATTAGCTTTTTTGGCAGTCATATCAGGTTTTCCAGCAGTAACAATAGAGATAACTCTGTTAAAATTTTGAGGGGGAATAGTGTCTAGCCTTAAGTACTTCATACAGCTAACTATATTTAGGTATGAGGGCAGAATAACGATAATTGCAGACAAAGCAAGATCTCAAATGTCTTTTTTTTTTTTTATCTTAATGCACACATTCTCAGGAAACTAATAGAGAAATAAACCAAGAAAGAAGACATGGCTCTGAAAAACAGGGGATTGAGCACAATGAGAGGTAAAGAGAATCCTTAGGATCTCAGTGAAGGGACATCCCTGAGCAGTAGGTGCGGAGGTGCCTGAAGAACAGTATGTGTGAATAGGAACGAAAGGGTAGAGAGCACGAGCAGAGTATCTCCAGAAAAAAAAAAAAAAAGATGCAATTCACAAGTTATCTGATAGGTCTGAAGGTATTAAGAAGAAATTAACACATGTAGAAGAGAAGTTGAGGTTATATTGCTTACAGGTACATACCCCCACCGAAGCAAATAAAACTACAATGCCCTTATTAAATCCAAGAAAAAAGAAGTTGATACAGCACTCTTTCATATTGATATCATAGTCCTTTCAATCAAAAATAGAATGCTACTTAATCCTGGGGAATGTTCTTGTATTAACTTTCATGCCTCAGCAGAGCTAAGATACAAATAATAATAGGAACATATATTCTGCAGACTGACTTAAAAATTATAACAACATTGGGAAAATGAGAGGAGATAAAGAATGCAAATGTGTGTTTGTGTGTCTGTATAAATGCATCTGAATGCATTTGTACACCATTCCAGCCAATCCTGTTTTCACACTCTCACATTCAGCAATATCTGGCAGTTTCTGTGGATTTATGTTCTTTTGTTCTGTGTCATTTCAGTGGAGTCTGCTAGGGAAATACCTCTTGTGGTAGAAGAGCCTTAGAAGAACTAAATCACATCTCTCACAGTGTGAAGATAATACCTTATAATGGAAACAGGTTATTTAGAAACATGAGAGTAAATACCAAAAATAAAGGCAAGATGTTGAATGTGGCTGCTTCTGGCTAATGAGAATCAGGGATAAGGAAGGTAATTTTAATGAAAAGTTGAGATAAGAATTTCTTCATAAATATTTGTGTGGGGGGTGAATACTGAGAACATTTCTTACTGGCAAAGTAAGTTTCTTGAGAGCAATAACAATAACTTAAATAAATTGTTTTGTTCTCTTTTTGCATAGCCCAGGGTCTTAAAAATGTACATTCCTTTTTGTTAAAAATATAAATATTTTTTCAACAATAGACACCATAAAAAACACAGACTCTATGCAGTACAGATGCTAGAAGAGGCATTCTTAAACCTGCTCCCACTGCAGAGAAAGGCAGGCAACAGATGTCACCTCTAAAGAGAAACCTCTTGGGGCACCTGGGTGGCTCAGTCAGTCAAGCAGCCGACTTCGGCTCAGGTCTAAGCATTTTTGCTATGTTCCTATTGCATCACTTTTTCTCATACAGATTTGGAATATGAATATCTGTCTTGAGTACCGTTCACTCATTAATACAACAAATATTTACTGAGTATGTACTATGTACCAAAATTGTTCTGGGAGCGGGAGATCCACTGTCCCTGTACTTCCAGAGTATATAACGAAGCACTAGAGAAGTAGCACTACAGGCCGGAAGGACTCCAGGGCAGCACCCTAACCGATACAGTGTGAAGTTAGTCCTGTGGCATGTGTACATTACCACTCATTCAACTACCACTTTTTGCATACATGGGACTGCTGCTTCGCCTTCCCTGAAAAGGAAATCTCCCTAGCTAACCACAAGAGGGCCTCAATAGCTGTTAGACGGAACACCTTGTATCATTTGAAACTAGACTTTACCAGTTCCTTGAACTTTACAGTGTTATAATAATCCCAGTATTTTTACTACATTCTATGTGCCCTGAACTTATTAAGCAAATTTAAAGTCATCCATAAAGAACGTTAGATCTCATTCTGATAACCATCGGTGAACTCTATAAAAATGACAGTTTCCACTCTTCATCTCTGTCATTTGCTTTATTTTTATCCATAATTCTTATTGTTCTTGACTACTTATCCTACATGTTTGTTTATTGCCTTTCTCCTCCTTTAGAATGGATGAGGGCAGGTACCTGTAGCAATTCTTGGAACTCCATAAATATTTGCAAATGAATGGATGGCCCTGCCATGGGTGCAGGAATATGGGACAAACACTGCCTCATATCATTCTTGTACGGCACACAAGTCAACATACCTGCTATAATATTGTCCAGGAGCGTGATAGGCATACAAAATATGCCAACCAGTAAATCACTTATTGCCAGGTTCAAGATAAAGAGATTCGTGACTGTGTGCATATGCTTGTTCCTCATTACAGTAAAGCAAACCACTGTATTTCCCACCATGCACAGGAAGAAGATCAGAAAGTAGGAAATAATGAACACTGCTGCTACTTGAGGCTGGTGAAGGTAGTAGTTCACATAGGTAATATTGATATCTGAGTATGGGTGGTACTTTGTGTCATTGACACTCCAAATGTAATGCCAGTTTTCTGAAGAGTTTGAGTCCCATTTCTCACTCATGATGGACCTGAACAAAGGAGAGCTAGAAAAGAAAAAGCAGAATTAGAAACCAGTAGAACATAAGCTCTGTGCCAGAGTTTAAGAGGAACACTTTTAAATTGCTATGGAATTTTGATGGTCCTTCTATAATAATCCATGAATGTTGCATGGGACTGAGTTATAGATCATTCAGATTATTCAGATTTTATCCAAGAGATTTGAAATTTCCACTTTGTGTCCTAAGTAACAATTAATATTATTTTTTATTTCCTCAATATGTTCTATATTTCACTTTTTCATGACACCTCATATTCATTGGCAAAGTTCCAAGAGAAACTCTGTAAAGGAAACTTTCCAAAACTCCCCTTTTCTCCTGTCTCTAGGTATCATAACCTGTCAAAATCTACTTGTTCCTTTAAGGCTAACTTACAGGTTTTTAGCTTTCCTGGCAATTGAAACAAGATGTGCTGTCTGTATCTTCAAAACTCCCATTGAAATAAACTTCTTGTATATTCCTTATTTTGCTTTGACTCCATTAATCAAATATTCTTTGTATATACTTCTGTATGCAGAGATAGCCACCATACTGTGAATTTCTTAAAAGAAGTCCATGCTACTTGGACTTTACTTGACATAATTCTATTTACATAGTATGTATTCAATACATATTTTTATTTAGAATCCATATATCTTCACATACATCTTTCAGTCAACCTTGTGTATCGGAGATCCTCAAGAACATGCCCAGGTTTGGTGATTTACTGGAAGAATTCAGAGGACTTAGCATACAGTGTATTCACAGATGATATTACAGCAAAAGGATACAACACAAAATCAGCAAATAATGAGGCACATAAGGTAATATCTGCAGGAAACCAGTAACTAGCTCCTAAGAGTCTCTCTCAATGGGGTCACACAGTGTGATTATTCCTCCAGCAATGAGTTTGGCAATATGTGTGAAGTGTTGTCTACCAGGGAAGCTCATTAGAAATTCAGTGTCCTAGGTTTTTAATTGGAGGATGGTCACACGGTACCTTCCTCCATGCAGTATCAAAATTTCAGACTCCCAGATGGAAAGTAGATGTGCAGCACGAACGATGTCTATACAAACAGATTGGGTATGATGGGCCACTCTTGTCATCTATGGACACCTTATATCAGTATGGGGAACTGTTTCTGATTTAAGTTCCCAAACTCTAACCAAGGGCAGACTTTGCAAGCAGTCCTTTCTAAAGATGTCAGACTCTGACTTGTTCATTAACTCTTTTCTGCATATGTTGTAAATTGGTTGGACAGGAGGTTATATGTTCCCTTAAAGGGAAATACATTTGATAGTACACTTACACCATTGAGCTCCCATATTTTATTTTTTTTTTTGGTGGGGGAGTAATTTCATGGACTTTGAATTGGTGAGATAGATAACCAGACCCCAGTTTGCATTAATGACCTCATTATCACTCTGTATTTTTCAATCTTTCATCAACTACATATTTTTATCATTTTAGGGGAGCATTTTTATTCTTGTAAATACTACAAGAATATGTTTATTCTTGTAAATACTACATTAAGATATGTAATATTCATTCAACTTTGAATAGTTTTCTCTATTTCAGGTACAGGGAACAAAGCAAAGAAGTTACTATAAAATAAGTACATAAACATAAGTCAATGAAAGGGGATCATTTTCCTCCAATATTTTGCCATTTTATTTCTTCCTTTTCCTCTAACTTTTAAAGTTCATCTCTGCTTTCCTATGTTTAATGTCCCTAAGTCCAAATAAAAATGAAAAATGAAAAGAAAGTGAGTGTGGGATAAAGTGAGGTTTACGAGAGAAGAAATAGAATGGAATTTGAGTGAGACTGGATGTGTTATGTCAAGCTGAAAATGTCTGGGGTCCAGAGCTTGACTGAGAGAATACCTACTAGCTTGATAAAAATTGCTTCAAAGTATCCAAAAGAAAACCATTCACACAAATATTTAAAGATATTTGTATCCATGGCAAGGAAATGCTGTAAATATAAATGAAAACTGCATGAGAACACTGTAGGCCGCAAAAGTTAGTGATAAGAAGCCCATGTCCACGGATTCAATTAGAGCTGGAAAATATATTGAGGAAAATATCTCAAAAGACACAATGCTTTATATTTTCACATTTTGTTTTTCTTATGCTCCAGCTTAGAGCAACCCTATGTTTCAGAAACAGATACGCATTCATTGTGTACCTACTGGGATAAGGGTGTTTGGAAAATTGAGATGGAACAAGGTTTTCAAAACCTTCCTGTGTATTAACTTAAACTCCATGTCAGTTGTTAGAGAGTATTTCTTTTCCTCTTCTTCTAATGGATTATTGATAAATTAAAATCCAATTTTGTTTTAAGGGCTAACATGGATTTCACTATTCCTATTATTGGCTTGAGAACTATATTTGGCAAGATGACATGCCAACATGGAATATAGAGGGGTAAAGGGGGAATCTGTCATATTTAAGTGTTCCTTCCTCCTGACACATAATTGTAAAATTTTGTATGTGAGGCCACAGCTTTGGCTATTAGGTTAACCTATAATAGTATAACTTTGGGGATAACATCATCACCCTTATTATTACTGTAGTGAGTAAGACAGAGAAAAGCCACGTCCTGATTGATCCAAGGGAGATCAACTTATCTCCATTTAATACACTAAGGAAAATTGCCCTTTGTTATTCTTGCATCTGGCATCTTTTTCACTGGGCACTTAAGTGTTCTATACAGTTGATTCAAATGCTTTAAATAAAATCAACCTCTGAGTGAATACCTGTAGTCTAGAAATAAAGTATACTCTGTTCACATTAATTCTGTAGATGAAATAATATAAGGACTAAGAAATTTGTGTATACCAGTTTCTAGAAGGCAGATTTATACTCTACCCATGTCGATGATTCAATAGTTTTAGAATGTCATTGAAGATGTGTAATGTCTTTTTAATAATTTTTAAGTTTGTATTTTACAAGTTGAGTAAATTAACTGTAAGCCATCTTACCACTAATTAGTCTTCTATTGTTATTTCTACATGGAAATCCATGTGATGAATAAAATAACTTGGTTGTGAGCTGTATCATTCCTTCATCTTTGACCCTGGGGAGAAAACAGATATAGGTTAAACTGCATGAGCTCCATTTAGAGCCCAACTTGCTATAGCTTATCCAGACCCTTATGCTTATATGTAGAAAGAGGGTCTGAGTCTTCAGGAAGGGAAACCAAGAGAGGAAGTCATTTAAAATTCTTTCCTTCCTGTAATTGTATTTGCAAAAAACCACTAACAGTGAATTAGTCAGTGGGAGATGGACTGGTTGCATATTAGTATATATTGGTGCTTTTCTATATTTTTCAACTTATTTCCTGTTTCCAGAGTTTTTTTATGATCTGGAAAAAATGTGTTATTATCTGATTGCAAATGTACACAATAAAACTAGATAATGTAGCTTAAATTCTTATAAGTTCACAATCATAATAAGTCATACACTAGCTAGCAATGGTATTATCTTACCTAAAATAGATATGTACCACAATTTCTTTTTTTTTAATGTTTTATTTATTTCTGAGAGAGAGAGAGAGAGACAGTGACAGAGACAGAGACAGACAGAGAGACACAGAGAGAGCAGGGGAGGGCCAGAGAGCGAGAGGGAGACACAGAATCCAAAACAGGCTCCAGGTTCTGAGCTGGCTGTCAGCATAGAGGCCAACGTGGGGCTCGAACCCACGAACTGTGAGATCATGATCTGAACTGAAGTCGAACACTTAACTGACTGAGCCACCCAGGTGCCCCAATATGTACCCCAGTTTCAATTAACAAAGAATCCGTAAAGACTCTAACCTATTAAGTTTTGATATGAAATGTGCTGTTTCACACAGATCATCTAAAGAATTAGTCATCTGAAGGAAGAGTCTATACCTTTATTTGTGTATCAAATTCTCATTAAAGTGACCAAGTTGTAATAAACTGGCACCAATCATGGGCTACATAGACACAAAAAAATGAACTATGGCCAGTGCTCCTTATTTTGGTCATCCATCTCTCCTTGGGCTTTGCAGTATTGCTCCTATTACTGTGATACTTATTATTAATTTTACTGTAGCCTTCATTTTTCCTTTTCTTTCATCCATGTACTTATACAAGGACTTAAGGACAGGAAGTTGGCAGTATTTACTTCCATCTATATTGAATGACCTCATAAACTCTGGTCAATCACTAAAAGGTATTATACTTATTAAGTAACTAATCTATGACAGCTTAGATTGCTAAAATAAAAGGAAAGATAGGGAAAATGGCAAGGACAGAAATGTTGTTAACATGCATTCTCAAGCAGGGTGTGAATCATTGGCAATAAACACGAGACAGTAATAGTGCCCAATATTTACATTTTCAAAGCACTTTCAGATATATAACCTTAGGATAGCAGCATCATGGAATCATAAGATGCCCCTCCTTTTGCATGCCCTTTAAAAAACTAAAATTCAGCATCCATCTGCCCACAGAAGTGCTCCTATGGGAGCCGGGGCAACCAGCACCAAAGGCCAAAGCATTTGGAGGAGGACTCCCACTCACCTGTGCACCGGGGAAGAGTCAGACTGACCTCACCTGGCTGTGGAGCCAGCAGGAGCCCATGATCTGGCCTCAGCCCCTTCCAGGCACAGTGGGGCAAAACCTGGAGAGGGCTGAATTGGGAAGACACCCACAGATGAATGAGGCTTTGTAGAAGTCCAAGTTTCCTGAGGACAGATTCCAGTACTCTCTTGGAACAAAGCCAAATAAAAAACGGAAACCAGTCTGGAAGCATTGGAGTGAGGAAGGCAAACTTTGCCAGTGCCAGTCTCTCAGATCTGCTCCTGATTAATACATAGCCAATATCGGGAGAAAAATCCTTGGACTTTTTTCTCTGGAAAAAGACTGGGTCATTAATCTGTAATCTGAAAAAAAAAAAGAAGGAACACATGGCCCTGAAGGATACTACTGGTTTTACCAAAGCAGAGCGTGTCAAATGTTGCATAAGCCTCTGCCGCAGCTACATGGTATGGTACAGGGTTTGTAACTTTATTGGTAGAATTAAGTGAAAGCCTGACTTATGCAAATGACGTTCCCCAGGATAAAGTAATGCACTGGAAAGCTGAGCTGAACCTCTGAATGATATAGCCCCGTTAAAATTCATTATCTAGAAGAGGAAGTGACTTGGACTTTAGAAACATTGCACATTCAATTAAATGCCTCCATCAAATCATGCAACAAGGTTCAAGCAACTATGTACAATGGAAGATCAACAGTCATTGAGAAGCAAAGGATTTCAAAAGATCTTTAAAGAGATAGTCCCTATGAACATACTTTATTCCTCCTACTCATTGGGCCTTCAGAGCAAATCTTTGTGGTTATCAAGGCATTAGAAACACTATTCTTTCTTTGAAATATTAAAGAAAATGAAGGACAAATAATAACAATGAGGAATGTGTGACAAAGCAATATTAACTGAGGTCAGAGAGAATTGGTGGAAGATGTTGAAGCAGCCAGCCAGTAATCCATTTCCCTCCCCACCTCCCCCCGCCCCCCAGACACAAGGAGAATGCCCTCAGGGAAAGAAAGACTGAGGATTCAGACTAATGTTCCTGGGAAGAAAATAACTGTACCTCAAGGTAGGGGAATAATAATTGCTAGGATGTTAAACCCTCACTTATGTAATTAATAGGATATTCCTGGATAAGTATTAAACAAACAAAGAATCAATCAATTTATGAGGTATGATGCCCTAAAAAATGTCATATAAACTGCGATATAAAATGGAGATATTTAATGGATGGAACACTCACTCTGCACTTTTAGGCAATACAACTTAAACCTTACCTGAGGACCTCATCTATTCCTCTGAGCCAGGGAGTGAACATCAAATGCAGGAGGAGGGGTCCTGAAAAGCCATCCTCAATGCCCATACCTTCTTTGATTAAGCTTCCTGATTACCTAGATCCTTGAAATTATTATTAAGGCATGAACATGAATAAGATCTCCAATTTTAGGGGCACCTGAGTGACTCAGTCAGTTGAGCGTCTGACTTCGGCTCAGGTCATGATCTCATGGTTCGTGTTTGAGCCCCATGTTGGGCTCTGTGATGACAGCTCAGAGGTTGGAGCTTGTCTTCAGATTCTGTGTCTCCCTCTTTCTCTGACCCTCCCCTGCTCATGCTGTCTCTCTCTCTCAAAAATAAATTTTAAAAAACCTTTAAAAATTAAAAAAATCTCTGACTTTAAAAAAATAATTCATATTTCAGCTATAAAATCCAATATGCATGGAGAATTAAACCGTCTTCCATATAATTATGTCTGGAAATACACAATCTAATATTTTAATATATCTTCTACCAATCTTTTTATACAAATATCCTGGAAAGAAAAATACTAATTTCAAGAGGATAACATATTCTACTGGGGTAAGAACTTTCATTTAGAAAAATACTTTGAGGAATTGTCATCATGTGAGAAGGGAACTATACCTATACAGCCTCACTCTCTAGGGAAGATTAACAATGAGTAGTATATCCAACACATTTTCTTTCATCTAAATTATTTTAATTACTTTATTATCTTTTAAAATTTTGATATCTATTCTGTGTTGAGCACTCTGTGAATTTCTTTGTATGTGTCAACCCATTTAATCTTTTAGTACAAAGTAGCTACTAAAAGTATCCCTGTTTATAAGGAAAGTAAGACAGGTGATATTAAGTAATCCGATTCAGTCTTCACAGTTAATATCAGGAAGAGTCAGGAAACATTAAAGAGGGTCTCCTAAGAGTATAAAAGCCAGCAACAAAGCTAAGGGTGGGCAACTTGAGAGTTAGAAACTGACTAGAATGAAGTTCCATGACTTGGATATGGCCAAGGAACTTCTAGAATCTATCATGTCTAATACTGAATTTCAAACTAACTTTTATTCTACACAGAAAACTACTCCCTACTTATGACCTCAACTTGTTAGCAAGAGTCTTTTAAACATTAACTGCCTTGTGAGGAATATTTTTCAAATATCAAGGGAAATGTTCTAATATTTGGGTTAGTGTAGGGCAGAGACTAGAGAGCAATTATAAAGAATAAGACAGGAACAAGAATGCATCATAGATATCTAGAGAATTCCTAGAGATACTGGGGAGGGGGCTGTTGGGGGAAAGACAGGTGAATGCTAGATCTTCCAAAGCACATGGGATAGAGACCATTTGTAAATAACAGCTACACTGAATAAGCACAAGTTGTCTGATGCAATGTAAAAGCAACTACATTTGTATCTTGCTGACACTTTCATTTTATTATTTGAGGCTAATTTCTTCCTTGGCCCAAGGTGAAATTTGGAAGAGGATTTATTACTTTTCTAATCATTTTCTAATAATAAAAGCAATAATAGTAATTAATATGTCCTGTCTAGTATAATAAAATTTCAAATTTCCATGAAGAATGTCTTCTTTGCTGACTTGCTCTGTAATATCTCCACCCTCATCTTGTCAGTCTCAGTTCCCATCCTTGCCAGGGCTGTGAGTGGACAAAGGGTGGTGGAAAGAGGCAGGAAAAGCCCTACTTTTCTTTCCAGGCTTGTTATGAGGTGTTCTTGGACTAGAAAGAATTTTAAAGCCGACCCTCACTTTTGTGTGCACGTTTCCTTGGCTCTTTAGAGATGCGAAACTATTGCTGTGGATCTCTCATCTATAGTTCCCTTCGTGTGAGGAAAGTCATCTCTGGCTGCTGGCTCTCTCTGCAGCCTTGAGGAACTGTTCACCCCGCTGTAGAGCATCCATGTTAACCATGATGCAGCCGTGCCAATCCCCCTGGCCCACTGTGAACACTGGTCCATCTTTTGTCCGAAAAGACTCTAGGAGTGCAAGCTGGCCGATGCCATCAACTGTACGTCCATCTGCTATCACAGAAACAAGCCAGCCAGCCAGGTCCTTCCTGGCTCTTTGGAGGTCTTGATAAGGGAAACAAAAGCAAGGGAAATGCAGCTTAAATTAAATCTCCTCACAGCTTGCAGCCCACTGATAGATACCTGAAACAGGCAGAGCGTGACCTTTCTCAAG